CCTTTCCACTCTGAAGGTCATACCGCTCATCCAGATCTTTCTGTTCGCCACCGCCATCTGAGAAGCACGGATAACTACAGATACGTACGCACCGCTTGGAGGATAACTACAGAAATGCCACTTTGCAATGCCATTACCACAACCAACGCTATTAATCATCGATCTAGAAACACGTGTGACATATTAGGAAATAATGAAGGAAAACTTACACAGGCACACTTCATCTTGCACTGGTTCAAGCAAAAAAAAAAAAAAAGCCAAACTCTTTAGCATGGATGCACCATAAATAGTGAATACCCTGTATCATATTATTAGATATTATACAGTATGTAAGTATAGCCTACAGACCAGTAAGGTTAAACTAACCTCCCTTAAGCCATATGCTCTGCAGGAAAGATGATACGCGCAGCTCAGATCAGCTGAGAAGCTGGTTAGGTGATGAGTTGCATGAAGCAGTAATTGTATTGCGATAACAGCGTGAGAGAGAGAACAACAGAAACATCTCCAAGCTTGGCTAATGAAGTGTTAATTAGCCACTGCAATTTACCCTGCTCCGTAGCTCCTGCTTGTTATAACACTATTAATGCTGTTGGTGATGAATGAGGAGATGCGAGGCATTAGCCAGCGTGTTGAAAGAAACAGTCAAAAGACACAAACTGGATTAATATGTAACTTATATGATTAGAAGCTGCTGTGTGTGCACATAATGTATGGTATTTATGAAGACATTGCATATTAGTGCACACTTATAGGACATTTAGCACCTCCAGTGCCAGTATTTATTTAATTTCATCATGAACATTTTATGCTTGTTTTTCATTTTTAAATTATGCATTTAATTCCTGAATGTATACGCCTGTTTTTTTTTTTTTACTGCTTAGAAAATCGTGTATGTCACCTTTTGATTTAAATGCAGTCATTTTTTATTATGTATTTTATTGTATAACAGTATTCTTTGTCAGTCAATGCCAATGTCTTTCATCCAACACAATTTTATGTTTATTGCGACCTCAAATAACATTTTCTTTTTTTTTTTTTTAAATAAAAAGAAGTTTTGTTGAATTGCTTCCTCTGAGTTATTATATAACACCTTGAAATGTTTGCCAGCTTCTCAGTCAACTCTCACCTCAGTACATCGCAGCCTGATCGTTCCTGCTCCTTGGTTGAATATTTCTCTTTGTTTGTGTGACAGGGTAAATATTTGGAGAGGGTGTGCTGTAATTTGGAAGCTCACCATAGGCATTTCGAGAGAAGGCAGGATTTAGTGACAGGTAGCAGCATTGAAGGACCTCACCATCTTGCGCCCCCCCCTCTCCACTGCCCTAATCCTACATGTAGCATCTGCTGTAGTCCTCCCTCGTTGTTGGCTGCCTTCCTCTTTGCTGCCCCCTCTGCGGGCTCGTATCGAATTATGCTGTTCTTCCCTTTCCTCTCTCCCTCTCTCTCTCTCTCTCTCTCTCCTGATTCCTGCTACATCTGCCACCTGTCTACTAGGACTCCCATGGCTTTTATCATACACCTCCTATCCCCCCCTTCCCTTCAATTGTCTCAGGAGGGGGGGCTCTGTTCCTCCTGAGACAACTTTTACCTGCTGTGTAGTTCACACAGAGGTCCCTCCTGGTGGCTGATGTGTTGCATTGCAGGGAGATGTGCTTTCTGTCCATCAACGCTCTGAGGTTGGCCACCGCTGACAGATTTCTCACTGAGAGCCGTATCGAGTACAGTGAACTTAATAAGTGTTTGGACAGCAGTCAGCAGTAGTCTTGTTCTTACAACTGATGATATTAAATGAAACTATGAGGCTAGATTTTCAAATTGAACAGTACATAGAGACGGCTATGTAATATCCAAGATTATAATAACATAAATTTTTCTTCCTGTTTGGCATTTAAATACATATGAAATACATGTAATCGGGTTATAAGCAAAACATGTCTTAAAGATGCACCTGACCAAAATAAAAACCTTGGATTTCTCATCAGAATCAAGTAGTTCAGTTGGCAACAACATAAAAGACAAGCCAAATATGCATAGGACAGTATGAGCTTCACACACCACAGACCGCCAACCCTCAATGGATGCAAAATAAAAGTATTGTGGGAAAACTAAGAAAGTTGGGCAGGTCAACTGCAATAAAAGCCATATGCAATGGCCACCTAAAGCTGGAGTGTGTATTAAGGTCTACTCTGTACTATAGCACTGATTTCTTCCTGGTCCAACTCTTGGAACAGATGGAACAGATGTGCTGTTTTAATCAGTGCTGTCTACACAGTGTGGTCACAGGGATTTTTCTAGGGAACATTTTATGAAGAAGATGTTTGCTACTCTTCTGTCTCTGATTTTACATTTGTGCACTTATTTGTTATTGCTTTATATTTATATATAATTTATTGTTTTTTTTTTTAATTTTATTTTACAGATGTGCCATGCACTTTAATTTGTACATCACTTTGGTCCACTCTGGTTGTTTTAAATGTGCTATATAAATAAACCCGATTTGATTTGATTTGAACAGATGTACCTAAATTAAAGGTCCTTTGACAAATTCTTAGCAATTCTGTGGTTTATATTTGTTTTTGTCCTTGACATGGAAATATCAAGTGCTGTTTTTAACAGAAGCAAGCAAATTAATATTGAAATGAGCCTCTACACAATTTACATGGGATGGTTGTGGCAGTCCCTGGGCACCCACTATTGGAAGCCTCGGCTTTATGGAAAATCCTGGTTGTGGATGAGTAGGGAAGTTCATTCTTGACTTTGGAAAGAGTAGTTTGACAAAAATCATCTCAACTCCATGGTCCACTTAGTAACTTTCTTACTTTTTCTCTGGAAAAATATGTTGAGTGTGAGTGAGTCAAGCTACTGGTTCCAATCCTTTTTTTGGACAACAATCACACATGTTTACAGCTACATCTCAGTTAATTACCCTGTAATAAATACCTCATGTTGGGTCTGATTACATTATTTACATTTACACAGCTTTTTTTTTAAATTAATATTCTTCAAAATACACTAAAATGTCAGTCCTGTCTCAATTAATTAGCTGCTGTCTCAGACATCAAAGACACCAATGCAAAAGATGGATGGATGTGACTGCTGCCTTAATATTTAATACTAAATACTACTTATAGGAAATAAATGTTATTACTATTAGTAGTGTGAGGTGTGGGTATTATTGTTATTATTAGTGGTGGTGGTGTTGGTAGTTGTAGTAGTAGTAGTAGTAATGGTAGTATAGGGTGGGGTAGGGGTACATTTTGATGGGACCCAGAACTACCAGTTAGGCCCCAGGTAACTGGCCTAAAATAAAAAGGCGGCAGATGGTTATAAAGTAAAAATAAAAAATAAAAAACATGACTTAATCAAGAGCACTGCTATAAAAAAAACCACAGCTGTATCGTCCTTTAACGTCACTTTTTCCCGCGGTGAACATCTTCAAAACAGACACACAAAAAAAGAGTGCCGCCTGAACCAGCCAATCAGGCTCTGCCATGTTGGGACACTCCAGCCAATGAGAGCGCTCAGCCGGGAGGACAAGTTGCGTGGCCCTCCGGAGTGGCGACTTGAAGAACAATGAAAAGCTCGGTTATCATCCTCCGCGTCACCATGACTGGAGAAAAAACGCTAAGTTTCTGAAGAGGGACTCCCTCCGTTTTGGAGGCGGTTCAAGAGTCCCTTTAACCCCCCCACAGCTGGGCCAACAACACCCGGCAGCAGTGAGTCGCGTTGCCCATTAACCACCGCATGAAACCCGGCGTTGCATGGTAGCGAAGCCCCCCTATCTCCTCTCCTCTCTCCAGCTGAATTTCAGAAACAACAAAAACAATTCCCGCCGGTGGTGCCCTGCACGCGGCGGAGCGAAATTAAAGTCCTGTCTCTCTCCCCCCCCTCCTCCTCCTCCTCCACCACCACCTTCACCTCCTCCTCCTCCTCTACCTCCTCCTCCTGATGTCAAACCATTTTGCATACTGACTTCCGCCCCGCTTGGCTCTTCCCTCCCTCGGTCCGCATCAGCCGGCGAGCAGCTAATATGACAGGAGGGTACAGTATCACACCCGAAGCCCACGAGAAGCTTGACTTGAAAACTTCATTTAGTAAGTAGGCGGATGTCGTGCGCGGTCGATATAGGTCGGAGAAGGATTAGGGGAAACGGGGGAAGAAGCGAATGTATCTTTTGATGCAATGGGATTTGCTACTTTCGTGTGAAGAGGCGGACCTATGAGACGCTGCGAGTTCAATATGCTGAAGCTGTCCCCGGTGTTTGTATACTGTACGTGGAAGTACAGAGACTATTTTCTTCCAACTCACCGGCCTACGTGAGGATTCAATACAGCACTTGGTATTATTATTATTATTTGTGGCTCACGGATATCCGCGGTAGAAAAAAAAGCGACTATATTTCTTTCTGGTTTTTTTTATTTTTTGTTTTGTTTTGGACAGGGAATTTCTTCAGACAGGGGTTGCATGTGCTTTGCTCCTTAGCTGCCTGTATATGCGCTACATTTTGTTAGTTTAATTTTTTTTTTGTTGTTGCTATTATTCGATATGGGGGTCTGGCTTGTAGCTCACCTTACTGAAACAGCCAGTGATGCCATTAGAGGCTATTAGAGTTTTTTTTTTTTTTTTAAGAGGAGGGGGGGGGGGGGTCTTCTTTCAAAGTAGTTTGGCTTGACGTTGACCCACTATGAACTGTTATTTTGTTGGTATTTTTCCCGCTCCTGTAAGGTTTTGTGTGTGTGTGTGTGTGACAGCAATGGTTGCTCTTGTTTCAGCTGTTAGCCGGTAGGTTTGCAAAAACTAGTCTACTGCGGGATTTTTTTTATTTTTTTTTATTTATTTATTATAATTTTTAAAAACTTGGTGCATTTTCCAGGTGACACCACACATTTCTACTTCTGCTTAAAAAAAAGACTGATTCTTATTCATTTTGACCGGCTGTAGCTGTGTGACACAAATCTTTTTTTTTTTTTTTTTGTCGGGATTCCCCCCCCAAACACCCCCCCCCATCCCCCACCACCACCACCACCACCACCTTGTGCTTTAAACCTTCATCCCCACTCCCAGTCCCACGGATACGAAAGACTACATTTTTTTTTTTACCTCGTGTTTTTTTCCACCATGAGTTACATCCACAAGGTATTGAATGTTTTGCTACGTGGACTCGTCATCTATGCGGTACTGGGCTTGGAGTGCACTTACTCGAATGATCTACCCAGCCAGACATCTGATGCTGCAAACGTAGCCACCACAGGTAAGCAGTAATCCATGTCGGATACAAGTGTCTCCTATGTATTTACGCATGTACAGTATTACCCCCCACCTCCCTCTCCCTCTCCCTCTCCCTCTCTCTCTCTCTCTCTCTATCTCTCTCCCCTCTCCCCCTCATCATCCTGTTCCCTGTGGCTTTCTCGGGAAAGCCGAGGAATGCCCTACGCAGGGGCTTTAGTGGAAAGTGATGCATTCAATGTCGACATACACCTTTTTTCCCTTTTTTTTTTTTTTTTTACCTCCCCCCATCATCCTCTCCCCCCCACTGTACATTGCTGAGGAATGCATGACATGACAGGAATGCAGGATGCATCCTCACAGAGGGCACGGGTATTTTACTGTAATGGTGCCCTTCATGTGTCACCAAGGGTGTTAGTGGTGAGAGATGGGATACAGATCTTCATGGGATCAATCCATAAATCCATGCATGTCAGGTCCCTTCTAATCAAAGGGAGCCCCGGCTAAATGCCCTCTGTTTACATCAGTAGGTGCTGATCATTGCCAGGAAGGCCACAGGTGACCCCCCTCTGAAATTGTGCTATTGACATAACCTAATGAGAGGAGGATTTCCATCTATTTGCATCTGTTTCAACCAGGAAATATTGATTGGTTGTTCGCTTAACAGGCTTTTGTGCATGCCAGGTGCCTCAAACCCACGATCAAAAGCCCAGGAATGGAGAGAAAAATGTGTAGAAAGCTTTATTTCTTTTGTTTTTATATGTTTGATTATTTAAGAGGGACGATTCAGATAAGCATTGCTACACGGGTAGACGTTTGGCAACAGATATAATGTAGACAAGGTATGTATCTGAAGCTAATTTGCAGCTCATGTCCGTGGTTTTGATTTTAAAATGTACGTTTAAACATGTGGATAAGGCCTATCTTCAGGATACAGACCGATACAAAGGATGTGTGCATGTGTAAATGTACATATGCACACAGTCGTATACATTGACATATAAGGCCACAAATAAGTGTAAGGGTGTATGTATATATGGAGGCATACATATACAGTGCAGTGTCTGATAGTGTGTGAATGAATCAGATACTATCAGAGATATCTGAATAATGCCATGCTGATATGTTAGTAAGCTAATGTTTCAGTCTATTAGCGGGGGTTTGTGTTGTTTTATGTTATTTAAGATGTGGATTGCTTCCTTTCCTTTTCATCGAGGTTCTGCTTTCACTACGGGAACCACTTGTTTTCATCCACACAGAGACGGCCTCCATTATTGTCAGTGTGATTGAAAGTGACTATAGACTAAGGTCAAACAAGACTCAAGGTATAACTGGTGGATAGGAAACAGGATTGGACATTCATAGAGATATTTTCAAAAACGCCATTTTTGCCAACCTATTCTGACAACCCTGCAGAGATTTTTTTTTTTTTTAAGGTTGTACTTGAAGCTTTTTACTTCTTTTTATGCACGGGACGGTTTGTTACAACTCAGCTGTCTTTGTTAACTGAGCTCCGAAACAATACAAAGCTCCAAACACAAAGCAGGATCTAAAGGAATAGTTTGACATTTTGGGAAATATGCTTATTCACTTTCTTGCCAAGAGACTATTTTTTAGCTGAGACCAGTTGCCGGGCAACCAGAGGAGAGTCCAGGAAGTCGCCGGTCCCAGCCAAGAATTAGACGGGGAATTTGCGTATGCACGGATCAAAAGAACAATATAGAAGGTGTTTTTGAATTAGTGAGCTTTAGAGGTGCAGGTAAAATTGTCTGTTTCCGGTCTTTATGCTAAGCTATTAGCTAACTAGCTGCAAGCTTTTAGCTGCATCTCTTGGCCTCCATCAGAAGTTGAGGTTTGCTCACTTGTCAAGGAGATGGTACAGCTGACTAGCCTTGAAAAGAACACACCGATTATGATCTCCCCTCCAAGCTCCACCCACTGATGAAGGTCAACCAAATGTCGCTTAAAGACCCAGAACATTTCCAGAAGAATTTTCTCTCTCACAATTTCTGAGACCAAAAACAAACCTTCAGGCTCAAACCTAGTTCTTACTTATACAAGTGTGTTTAATGAAACATTTACCTGCAGCAGATCCGTCACTTCCCTCCCCTTACATACCCTACCCATAAAGGATAAGTCAAACATGTCAGTTTTTTTTTTTTTTGCATAGATTCAATAAAGGTAAACTTTAGCACTTTGGGCTGTTTGAACAAATACAGGTTGTATTTTACTGCCAACATTGACAGAACACAGTTAGGCGCTGCAGCTAAAGACACACAAAAGCCCTGTAAGTGGAAGTCTGTAGACTCATCTCTATATTCATGTTCATCTAACACATCCACCCCTGCCTGTCTATTAAGGCTGCTGGAGAAAGCAATAAACCTCGCTCCAGATAGCTGTTAAGCATTCATGACTGTCCGTTTACAAGCACGAGGCGGCTCCTGAAAATAAACCGGGGATATATACATTGATTAATAAGGCAAACGTGCACACAACAGCTCGGCAGTGTAAACACGGCCAGGGGACGATGCGAGCCCTCTCTCCCTGCAAACAATGAAGTGCAGTGGAGATAGTGGTGACTTAATACAGTGTCAGTAAACATGACCGCAGTGTTACCCATTTCCCAGCCGGCTCCCTGGAAAGGTCAGCTGCCTTTTCACTGGTCTTGGCGTCAGGAGAGGAAAACACAACTGTGTGTGTGTGTGTGTGTGTGTGTGTGTGTGTGTGTGTGTGTGTGTTCATGTAGCTCCTGTATATGCAGAGTTCCCTTTATTAACGGCAGATTAACAGCTGCCTCGGTGAATCTTGAATTGTGTTGTGTTTTTTTTGTTTTTTTTTAAAGCTTCAGAGGATGACTGTGTAACTTTTGAGAGAAGAAATAACTCATTGTTCCTCTTACAAATGAAAAAGTTGAATTCACTGGGAATGAAAGGCACCATTGCTCAGTTCAATACACTGAGGGGGTTTTGTTGCTACGGCCTCAGTTTGTCTTTGTGAGCGTTAGTTAATGTAAGCTAGCTTTAGATAAATCTTGTGCTACTGTTGCTGTGGCTTAGAATTTCAGCCAAATGCTAAAACTGTAGTTTAGCTGAACTCTAGTTTAGCATGTAGCATTATAACTTATATAGTGTGGCTTTAATGATACGAGTAACACTTACTCTTGTATGTTCAGAAATGAGGTTACATTGCTGAGCACTTATATTTGCGAATGACTATTCTTTTGCCTGCAGGTATATTTGCACACACGCACACACACACACACACAGACACAGACACAAACACACAAACACACACACATACTTCAGTGTGTGCCATCCAGTAGTACTGAAGGGATCTCTTGCCCAGGCAAATGAGGTTAGAGATGGGGCTGTTGTTGTCATTGAAGCAGTTAAGGGTTCAAAGCTGCCATTTAGCATGCTGTGAGTGGTCATGGGTTGAGACCCTTGGGGGCAGGGGGGTTGGGTTTAACATTTGGTGGGTCAGGCCAAGCTCCCTTGTGATTTAGGATCTTCAAAAGAGCAGAACAAAGACATAAAGCAGGGGATGGTGATGGAAGAGTGCAATTTGTTGTACATGAGCAGTTGTCATCTTTGATGGGAAATGAGTGGTGTCAGGTCTGAAAAGTGTACAAATTTGGATATAAAATGTTACATTTTAACACCAACATGGCTAAAGAGTCATCCTTGTGTAGATTAGATTCAGATAATTGTACCATAGTTAATAGTTGGTTATTTCTGCAACCAAAACTAGCTGAGGTCCAGAAGAGATATGTCATTTAAAAAAAGGAAAATGGCAGATTTTTTGGTCTTTCAGGAGCAAAGACAAAGATAGACAGGCGCTGAAGTAGTAATTGATTTCAGTGTTGCAGATAACCAGCTGCACATGATTTGAATCGAATGTCACGGCGTAGAGTTGTTTTTGGGCTGGTGTTACACTCATTTTGCAGTCCATCAGAGTTGAAGTAGTATGACATCTTTCAGGCCTTTGTTCCTCATAGTGGGCCTTTTCGGTTGCGTAGGGGTTCCTGATTTATTGTAAACCCACTTGCATGCACTGCAGTATGCATCAAATTGAGTGTTTTATTTAAACATGGGCCAAATTCAGAGCAGATGCAAACAATATGAATCATAAATCATCTCTGTGGACCTTGAGGAAGAAAAAAGGGGGTTAGAAATTTTAGACAAAACATGCTAAAAATTAAAAAGAAGATGAGGCATTTGTTGTTGTTGGATGGGTTGAATGTGAACGTGGTCTTCCCTTGTTTTAATGGTGGTGTGTACTTAGCTTGTTTGGCGTTTCAACAAACAAAGCCCTTCCCCCTGGCTAAAGGGAACATCCAGTTCTCAAGTAATGTGCCTGCTGGATGATAGTTGTCTCAGATACAGGACCTCCATTTAGCATAAGCTTTACGTAACTTACAGATGCAGAAACTGACTGCCGCAGGTTCAATTACAAAGACTCAAATGCAGTAAAGAAAACACGAGGAGACCTTTCTCACACTCTGCTTGTCACACACTGTCCTCACTTAATATTGTTTCGTTCATATAGCTAAATCAGAGGTGACATTGGCTATCTCAGAGCAGAGTTACTGCATTAATAAAGAGATTTGTTTGGAAAGGGGGGTGGTACAACATTTACCTATCTCGCCAGTGCTTGCTCAAGTACTACAGGGAGCATAGGGATTTTGCATTTTGTGGTACTTCCGTCGCTGCTGGCTGGCCTCTGTTCCATCAACACACACACACACACACACACACACACACACACACACACACACACGCTTGAGGGAAGCCAGGCTTTTCCTACTTACTGCCTTAGAGTGAGTTTTGGGTTCGCTCCGGGGGCTAATAGTGACAGAGTGTCAAGAGCGAACGTGGAGCGAGTCATAATGTCCAGGTTCTGTGTTGCACAGCTCAACCAGCAAAGCCACTTCCTTTCCCCGACTAGAACATACTGTTCTGAAGAGTTCTTCATTAGCCAAGAAGAAAAAAAAAAATATGACTATGCTTCAGAAATCAAACTTTA